TCCATTATAGCACACGAATGCCTTTATGACCATGGTTTCTGAAATAAAACCTTGCCTCTACTCCAAATATGATCACAAATGAGGAAAGAGTAATAGAAACATTACTGTTATGACCAGAATCTTCCAAATGGCCAGCCAATATTAGCTTCTGCTCTCTGTAAAAATACCTCTCAGTCATCTGTGTTTTTGCAGACATCTGTCCGAGTTTCTGCCATTATCTAAATAAACTGGAATGAATAGCATCACTCCTTAGTTCTTGCCTTTCAAAACCAATGGCAATTTTATAAAAAGAAGATAATTTCTCTATAGCATTAGAACTACCAGGCAAAGTGTTATTTTAGATTCTAAGTTGGTCAAGTTCTATGTGTGCTACAATTATAGTGAGTCCCTAAAAGTATTGGGATACTTTGCTATTTCTACTGATTTTCTCCAAAATGTAATGGAAGAGCAGAAAGGGTATAGCAAGTCATCTAGCTTGTGAATAGTTCATATATATAACTTAGCACTCTAATATTTTCCATTTGTTAGTAGTACTACTGAGCATGGCTGGCTGGCTTGTTAGATAATAGATGATAGATAGGCAGACAGACACATAGATACACATATGCATGTATATATCAAAAGATATATCACTGTGAATATATGGGGATAAATAGCACAAAGTCTTCACCCTTATGGATCTTGTGCATTAGTTAGAAATGCAGGCCCTAAATACGTATTAGGTTACTACATAAGTAGAAATAAAGGAAGTAACTTTACAAAATGAAAGATGTTAAGAATTCAATAAACAGAATGGAAAAGTGTTGAAGAAGGGCACTTATTTTAGACAGTACGATCATGAAAGACTTTTCTGAAAACCTAGATGGTACAAGTCTTCTATGCCTGGCAGGAGTTTGACCTTTATTCTTAGTAAATATAGGAAGATTTTTTGCAGAATTTTGAACTTCATCAGCAGTGAGGCCTGCACAAAGGTTGTCAAAGGTTGTTTTAACTGTGGTGTGGGGGATTGTGTTTTGGAGGGAGCCCTGGGACCGGGAGGCTATTTAGCGGGTATTTGTCACAGCTTAGGTGAGGGTTCATGCCCCCTGGACTACAGTGAGGGCAGCTGTATAAATTATCCATGAATGTGTAACTAATCATCGCATACTATATGCCTTTTTATAGTCTCACCATTTTCAATGGTGAGGAATCCAGGAGTGGCTTAGCTGGGTAGTTCGGACTCTGTCTCCCACAAAATTTCAGTCAAGTGTGGGCCGGGACTGCATTATCTGAAGTTTTGGTTCAGGCTGAACCAAGAAGGGGCCACCCCAAGAAGGATCACTCAGGTTTTATATGCAACTTGCCTTTCATCCTTGGGGCCACTCTTTGTGAGATCTCTTCCGTGGAATAACCTGGACTATTTTACATGGTTTAGGCAAATGTTTCTTAGTTAATATATGAAAGAAAAAAATATATGAAGAAGTTGAACTTCATCAAAGTTGAAAGCTTCTGATCTATGACAGGTATTAGTAACAGAATGAAAAATCAAGCTGCAGACTGGGAGAACGTATTTACAAATCATGAATCTGACAAACCATTTGTATCCAGAACTCAATAATAAGCAAAAGAAACAGCCCGGTGAAAAAATTGGCCAAATGTTGAACAGGCACTTCACTAAAGAAGATACAGATGGTGAAGATGTAATATGTTCAACACCATTTGTCATTGGGGAAATGCAAATTACAGTGATATTGAACTACTTCTATTACTTACTAAAATGACTAATTAAAAAAGAAAACCTGATAACATCCAACACTGATCAGGATGCAGAAGCAACGAGAATTCTCATAACATTCTGATGAGAAAGCACTGGAAAATATTTTGGCTTAGCGGTTTCTTTTTAAATAAAATTAAACGTACATTTGCCCTATGACCCAGTATTCACACTTGAATGAATTTATCTAAGAGAAATTAAAAATTGTGTTGACACAAAATTTTTGTGCAATATTTACTTACTCAAACTTCTAGTACCATTTTGAATAGGAATAGTAAGAGTGAATACGCTTGCCTTGGCTTAAAACAATATTTTACCCTTGAGTTAGTAAGTACTTCCTTTTCTTTCTTACTCTAGCCTTGTAATATTTCTTAATCTTTTGTAGAAAACTCTGTTCTCTTTTCATGAAAATCTGTGGCTCCTCTTGACCTTAGCTATTTCAATATTGATTTTATACTCAGGTTGTGAAGTTTTACACAGAAGATGGGGTGGCATTTGATCGGCATTGCATAAACTAGTTTTGGAAAAATGTCATCTTTAGATATCAAGAAACCCAATCATTGACATGGAGTTTTTCTCCTTTAATTTTACTTTCATTTAATGACTATGTAACAGAATTTTATAGTTTTCTATGCATAGGTCTTTCATATTATACTCTTCCTAGATATATTTCTATACTGTTGTACTTAGGATATTTTCTTTTCTTTGCTAGAAAAAATAAATATCTTTTTGCTTTATTTTTAAAGTTCAGTTAGGACACATATGATCCTGCAATTCCACTCCTAGATATTTACCCAAAGGACACAGAAACATCAATTCCAACAAGTACCTGCACCCCTATGTTTATAGCAGCACTGTTTACAATAGCTAAGCTTTGGAAACAACCCAAATGCCCAAAAATAGATGACTGGATCAAGAAGATGTGGTCCATATACACCATGGAATATTACTCAGCATTCAAAAAAGATAAACACATGCAATTTGCAGCAACATGGATGGCGCTGGAAGGGATCATGCTCAGTGAAATAAGCCAGAAAGAAAAAGAAAAATACTGATGGTCTCACTCATAACAGGAATCTAGAAAACTTAAGTAAGGGACCAGGAAAAAGAATAACTATAAGAAAGAAAAATATCAAAATCAACAAACAGCTATGAACCAGAGACACTCTATGGGGGGTGGGGGGCTGGAAAAGGAGGGGTTGGGGTCAAAATAAGGCAGTTGTAATTGTGTGGGGAATATAAAAATAAAATTTAAATAAAAATAAATAAATAAAATGTGCGAATTTGAATCTGAATCTTTTTAACATCTATCTCAACATGTTAACAAGACTTCCATGTCTTTTCTTTCTCTTATGTAAGGGAGATACAATTTACATATTAGTTTCTGGTATACAGCATAGTGATTTTCTATTTGTATATGATATTTGTATATGATATGATATTTGCAGAATGAGCACACAGTAAATCTAGTTAACATCCAACCATGTTTTTGAAATTAAGTGAAAAACATTCAATCTTTCAACATTAGAAGAAAGTGAGCTGTAGGTTTTCTACAGATGCCCTTAAAATCAGGTTACAGAAATGCCCATGCAGTTCTACTTTGCTGAAAGGTTTAGATGTTGAATTTTGTTGACTTCTTTTTATACAACTATTGAGAAGATCCTATGATTTTCCTTCCCTAGTATGCTGATCTGGTGGAAATACATTTGTTGATTTTTTAAATATTGAATCAGTCTTGTATTTCTTTCATAAATCCCATTTGATTATATATTATTTTTTTACATGGATTTGGTTTACATATATTTTCTTGATAATTTCTGTGTCTACATTTATGGAGAATATTTTTCTATAGTTTTCTAGTAATGTCTTTGTCTGGCATTAGTATCAGGGTAATAATTGGCTGTATAAAATGAGTTGGGAAGTGTTCTCTCCTATTTTGTTCTCTCCTGTTTTATTTGGCACTCTCTTTTGATTTAACTCTGGTAATTAAACCTCTTGGAATGTTGGCAAAGCTGTGCAGTGAGAATATGAGTTGTTTTTACCACTTTGACCTAAGGTATTGAGTGTTTTTAAAAACAGAAGTATTTATAAAATAAATTTTTAATTGAGGGAACTTTAGTTTATACCATTTTGAAGGTTACAGGTACACAGCAGTATAATTTGACATCTGTATAGGCTATATCATGATCATCACCAAAAATCTAGTTTCCATCCATTACTATACAATTGACTTCCTTCACCCATTTCAGCTGCTCCCAGCTCCCTTTTATTCTGGTAACCATCAGTCTTTTCTCTGCACCTGAAAGTCTGGTTTTTTTTTATTTTGATGACTAGCTTTGTTTCTTTCTGTTCCACATGTAAGTGCAACCATAGGGTATTTGTCTTTCTCTGTCTAATTTAGCGTGTCATTGTTTCGAATGTCTGAGTAGTACTCCATGGTATAGATAGAGTAAGGCATCATTTAACGGGGCTATATCCTGAGAAATGCAGCTTTTGGAGATTTCCTCATAGCACAACCCAATATGGTACAGCCTGCTATATAGGCTGAACCCAGGGACCATTCTCATATATGCAGCCTCACATTGGCTGAAACATCATTATCTAGCACATGCCGTGTACCACATAAAAGAGATGTATTTGAAGATGCTTAAAAAAGAACAGCTAGTGCTAGTTTTAAATATAAAGCAGTTTATATTTAACATTAGCACAAATTCTAGTTTAAAAATCAAAATCCATTAGTAATCTGCAAGTATTTTGAAATGATTCTGAACATCATACCTTTGTGATCCAGTGTAAGTAGATGCCATTTAACTTCAGGTTTTCAGACCTTCATAGTGGCTATTCAGGCTTACCTGAATTTATTTATTGGTCAGATGAGGTGATAACTGCCATTGGAGTTGTTATAATTATTTGAAAATTTATATTTATAAAGAATAACCCAAAAAGTGGAATCACAAGTTCAGTAAGCTTTTTACCTGATTTTCCATCAGCAAGATTTATTTGAGCATTTTTTTTTAAATGACAAACCTCATTCTGTCAAAATATAGAGCATCATGGTATAATGTATGCATGTCATTAATTAAGACTGGAGTGGTGTCGAAGGTTGGCACATTGAACATTTTGACAGATGGGAAAGAAATCATTTCTCTTGTGAACTATAATAGTTTTTGTGCAAAATGTCAAAAGCTAAGAAACAATGCTAATTCTGGGAAAATATAATAACATTGCTTTGTTTTGTGAATTGTAGCTGACTTTGGCCTGGCAAAGCAAAAACAAGAAAACAGTAAACTCACATCTGTTGTTGGAACAATCCTGTATTCCTGGTAAGGACAATTATCTATGGCTCTCAAACGTATTTATCTGGATTGGAATTTTTGTTTCTTTTCTTGTCTTGCAAAGGGAAGATGCTTTTAGGAAAAGGAGCTTCTTTATAAGTTTTCCTCAATTACCCAGGTAATACACATGTGTAGAATATACATTGTTATGTGTGCTTAAAACAACACCACCAAATTATCTTCCTTCTAGGTAACTCTGTTCTTCAGGGTGTTTACATTTATTACTTGTAAATTGAATTGATTCTTGCCACATAGTAGTTATGCAGTGGTTGTTGAATGAATCTGTGAAGGGACTAGTTGACTTGCTACCCAACATGACACTTGGAACATTGGATTTTTATATATATATATATATATATATATATATATATATTGCTCTTTTTCTCTCTTTCCACCTATTCAAAGGTAGGGGGAAGGCTTTTATGTCCTAGTACTTGTCCCATTGTCTAGAAAATAATAGGTGCTGACTAATTTTATTGCATGAATGGATAAATGATGACATATATACTTGGACATATGCTTACAAAATTGGCTGCTTCATGGGTAAATGAATGTTTCTATTTTGATGAATTGAGACACTAACTTCCTTAGCATACTTTGTGAGTTCTTTTGAAGTGCATTGATTTTTATGAAGTAAGAATCATCCTTTGCTGATAATATATCATTTGTAAGAATCTGTTGAAATTAGTAGACAGTTATGGGCATTAGCAGACACAGCAGGTTTCAGGGAAATATACTGAGACTTCATTCAACAGGTCAAGCAATCAAGACACTTTTCTTCTTTTTAAATCTAATCTATTGTGCAAGTTGAGTCCTGGGGATAGAATTCACAATGAATCTTCTCAGAGAGGGTGGAAATTGTTTGGAAATAATAGCCCCATTTTGCAAAGTCCTTTCATACAAGATAATCCATAATGGTGCTTTTAGAGGGTGAGTTCTATTTTACTAGAAATTCCTTACATCTTCATTCTTGAAACACAGGGGTCGTTGGGAAGGGAGAAGTTACAGAGAATCTATAGAGTGTGTAGGAAGACATTTGAACATGACAACTATTTTGCTTAAGTATCCCAAAGATTTAATTTTTACATTAGCTGAAGATTTAAGAAAACTGAAACTACTAATACAGTTAAGCTATTATTTCATCGATGCATATCACAATTCTTTTAATAACATGTACAGACTATATTATTACTGTTCATCTTTCTATCAAACTCCTTGTTGTTTTAATTGCTTAAGAAAATTCCTTTCTATTTTCTTCTCCCACCTCATTCTCCTAGTGTTAGAAACACCCTCTGTGTGATGGGCTTTATTATCATGAAAGCTCAAAACCTTTCTTCCTAGTTTTTACTATCTTCAACTGAGCATGGAATTAAAGGAACTCATTCCTAAATTATATTCCTTTACTGTCATGCTTTAGGATTCTTCAGAGATAGTCCATAAAACAAGGATTCAAGCACAAGTTTATTTGGGAGGTGGGTCTCAGGAAGCAGTGATGGAGGAGTGAGGAAATGAGGCAGAGAAGGGAAAGCAACCAGCACGATCAACTTCAATCAAGTTCATAGATTATTACCTGGGACAGAGCACAGGCGAAATTTCAGACTTGGCCTATATGTTTGTTGCTGGAAAATAGCAGATTCTTTTCTGCCTGCCACAATTGTTGAAACCAAAAAGCAAAGGACAGGGATTGAATCTTTAATATGCCTTTAATTAGATCAGCAAGCGCTTCGAGATCAGCTGAGCATCATGCTCCAAAGAAAATCCTCCTAAATCCTCATCTCTAGCAGGTTATTTTGTAGTGAGTTAAAACAAAGGCAGTTAATTATTAGTGACCGGCCTTCACTCCAGGTGGTTAACAACTTCTGGGAGTTTTATGGTGTCTGGTCTCCCTGATAGCCCCCCTCTGCTGGCATGTGGATTTAGTGAATTTCACTCCTGGGATGGATCAATCTCTGCAGAAATGGTATCCATCACTTTTCTAGGCACCTACTGGCCTGGGAAACTAACTCAGAGCAAATTACTCACAGGTCAAACAATGTGTGTATGAGCAGATTCCTAAACCATGCCTGTCTCAGCCCCTGTCCTAGCCCCATCATGCTGAATCAAAGTTTGGGCTAGGTTTTTTTTTTTTTTTTTTCAATCACAAAAGGGGAACTTTGTCACTGGCTGAAGGCTGTGGAGTGTGGGGATGAGCTTCCAGGTACTTCTGAGCTCCCAGTGTGGGCATGGAGAAAACCCTCATGTGGTCACTGGGTACTGCTTAGGGTTTGGTGCCACTGTCTTGGCACTGGAGGTGTCAGGAGGGGGCATGGCCATGGTCCTGAGGCTGTCAGCCAGGTACCCTCTCAAGTTCTAATTCAGTTCTCCTTTGTGTTTCAAATGCTTCCTACTAAAATCATTTGACATATTCACTTCCTTCTGAATGTGACCTGCCCTCATTTAGGAGTTTTCTCTGAGTTTTGTGAATTAAACAAAAATAAATCAGATATCTTTCGTAGTCCCTGCTCTGAGTCTTATACCTTCATGCGTTTTCTAGGGTTGGCCTGTTAGCTGTTTCCAGGGTATTTCCCTCCAAATCCTGTGATCTTTGTGTAATCCTTCTGAGTTTCTCTCTGAGTCTGTGAATGTGGACCTTGGATGCCAGTTCCTGTTCTCCAGGGTGGCCAGAATTGATGAGTTTGATGTTCTCATGTCATCTTGCACGTTCCTTTTGCCTTTACTTCCTCAGATAATCACTTACTTACAGGAAGAAAGTTTTCTTGATCAACTCTTGCAGGAGGTACCCCAGAAGAACATTCTTTTTTTTTTTTGCAGAATTTGGGGTGGGGGGGGTAGGAAAAGCAGTTTTGTTGGTCTGATAAATCAGGGTATGAAGTTTGATACTTTCAGAGTTTCTGGCAATTTCAGAAAGAATAAGACACAAGGGAAACTCAAAATCTGCACATAAACTTCTCATGAATCCTTAGCTGATCCCTGAACAGCAAATGAACAGATAAAATACCAAGAAGTTCAGAAGGGAAAGCAGCTGAAAGGAATAAATAAACAGATTTCAGCTCTTTTTTTTTTTTTTTTGTGTGTGTATTTCAGTAGATCTGCCTGTTCTGTGTCCCACTCTGTCTCTAGTGCATCCTCTCACCCCCCACATCTCTGGCCTACTCCTCAATTCTTGTATGCATAAATATTTTTTTTTTATTTTTATTTTATTTTATTTTTTATTATTGTTATATTCCCCATACAATTGCAGCCCCCCATTCTGAACCCAAACCCTCCCCTCCCGCCCCCGCCCCCCTAAAAGTGTCTCTGGTTCATAGTTTTTGTTGATTTTGATTTTCACTTTCTTATAGTTATTCATTTTCCTGGTCCCTTATTTAAGTTTTCTAGATTCCTGCTATGAGTGAGACCATCCGGTATTTTTCTTTTTCTTTTTGGCTTATTTCGCTGAGCATGATCCCTTCCAGCACCATCCATGTTGCTGCAAATTGCATGTGTTTATCTTTTTTGAATGCTGAGTAATATTCCATGGTATATATGTACCACATCTTCTTGATCCAGTCATCTATTTTTGGGCATTTGGGTTGTTTCCAAAGCTTAGCTATTGAAAACAGTGCTGCTATAAACGTAGGGGTCAGGTGTTCTTTGGAATTGATGTTTCTGTGTCCTTTGGGTAAATACCTAGGAGTGGAATTGCTGGATCATATGGAAGCTCTATGTTTAGTAGGTCCAGAACTCTCCACACAGCTTTCCACAGTGGTTGGACCAGTTTGCACTCCCACCAACAGTGCAGAAGAGTTCCTTTTTCTCCACACCCTCGCCAACATTTGTTGTTGCTAGTTTTTTTAATATGTGCCATTCTCACTGGTGTAAGATGGTATCTCATGGTAGTTTTGATTTGCATTTCCCTGATGACAAGTGATGTTGAACATTTTTTCATATGCCTGTTGGCCATTTGCATTTCCTCTTCAGAGAAGTTTCTTTTTAGCTCTTCTGCCCATTTTTTGACTGGATTATTTTCTTTGTTGTTGCTGAGTCTCATCAGCTCTTTGCAGATTTTTGTGATCAGTCCTTTATCATTAGTGTTGGGTGCAAAAATGTTCTCCCAGTTGGTGGGGTTTCTCTTTGTTTTTGTTATTGTCTCTTTTGCTGTGCAGAAGCTCTTTAATTTGATGTAGTCCCAGCTGTTTATCTTTGCCTTCACTATCACTGCTTTGGGTGATGTGTCTGTAAAGATGTCTTTGATGTGCAAATCACGTAGTGTTTCGCCTATATTTCCTTCTATATATTTTATGGTTTCAGGTCTTATGTCTAGTTCTTTAATCCATTTTGAGTTGATTTTCGTGTATGGTGTGAGGTAGTGGTCAAGCTTCATTCTTTTGCATGTAGCGACCCAGTTTTCCCAGCACCATTTATTGAACAAACTTTCTTTGCTCCAATGCATAGTCTTTGCTCCTTTGTCAAAGATTAGTTGACCATAAATCTGTGGGTTTATTTCTGGATTTTCTATTCGATTCCATTGGTCTGTATGTCTGTTCTTGTTCCAATACCATGCAGTTTTGATGATTATGGCTTTGTAGTATAGTTTGAAGTCTGGGAGTGTGATGCCTCCATTCCCTTCTTTTTTTTTCAGGAGAGCTTTGGCTATTCGGGGTTTTTTGTGATTCCATATGAATTTCATCAATAATTGTTCTATTTCTTTGAAGAATGACATTGAAATTTTGATTGGAATAGCATTGAATCTGTATATTGCTTTTGGAACAGAAGAACATTCTTTATTCTGTGTCTCAACTGCTAGATAAATGGTGTGGGGCACATTGCTAGCCTGATTGTATTAGGACGGAAGGTCAGTAAAAAATAATTTTCTTCATCTGATTTGATTCATTAAATAGGCAGGTCATTGTTATCCTTCTTAAGAAAAATTGTCCTCAAATGTGGGCTTTGGTTTGGTTTGGCTTTTATCTCTCTGTCTTACTCCAGTTCCAGAGTCCCAAACCCCA